GTGGCAGAAATCATAATACAGAAATATTTTGAGATTTTAGCTTAGTATTGCTAAAAATTAAGAATGTATTGCCGAAACAATAAATGACGAAAACTTCCATGGCTAAATTACACACATAGCTATGCTGTTTACAACAAATACACAATTGAGGAAGTTGGGAAAATGCAGATCCTCTTAAAAAGCGTATAGTTACATGTAGATTTTGAAGTTAAATTGAATCAAATTAATTTTTACTTAATAAACTACTCCAAAACACACATTACAATGGATAACCCTGATAATTGGCGGAAAATTTAAAATTAATTTGACAAATTACTAAAAGAAAGACAGTGGAACAAAACCCACTCACTAAAACACAACTTTGACAGCACTGTAGCAAGAAATGAAGAGATTGTAACTATATTAAAGACATTGCGTGGAATCCCCAAGGATACTGGTAACCTCAAAAGGTACATAGGACTAATCATTCAGGCGTTTATTCAAACATAACAGCAGATAAGTAAGTGATAACACTGAGAAACGACAAAGTGCACCTCACAATAGCAGAAACTGCCATGATAAAAGGCACGCACCACAGAGAAAGTGGACTGCAATAGTTTTAGTCATCTCATAATGAAAGAATACCAATTCGGGCCAAAATACACATCAACCCTTCCACCTCTTGCGGACACTTAGCACAAACTAGTCCCTGCGATCATGACAGCAGTGGTATTAAATAATTTCCTTTCAGTTTTTAGATAAAACAACCTAAAATCAAGTACCAAAAGCAGAAAGTGGTTAATTCAAATGATAAGAAATGCATACAGTAAGTAAATTCTAGTACTTCGCATCGCTCAAACTCTCTTCACACACCTCGAACATATTTGAGTCTTTCCAGTCGCACAAAGCACGGAGAAATTGACTTCGCATTTCAATTCTATTTTACTATAGGCATTTTTTTCAACGACCTACTAATCTCAAATTAATCAATGGGGTTAGGATTAAAAAAGCTTCATTTGATCAAGTTTATGAACAAAATATGAAATATTAATGTCGGATTAAATAAAAAAAATATCTGCGACATATCAAACTGAAAAATTAGCTGTGAGGGGTAGATTTTTTGGGGAACCTGATTTTAGAAAATAGTCAAAATTTGAAGCAGTACTGTTGCTAAAATACAATTACAAATAAACCAAAGGTTCACTACGCGTGAAATAGGCCCTGCCCGTCCACACCCATTTGTGCAAATGAGTTTGTGGTGCTTGTCATACCGCCACATCTACCGAACGGAAGCACACGCGTAGATCGGTCATGCGGATGGGGCAATAGGACTACGCACGAGGGATAGACGTTTCCTCAATCTTAGCGGACGCCAAGACACTCTAGATTGTGGAGAACTCAAGCATGGATACATGATTTTGGTAGACACGATCTGAGTAATGGCCACCTCCATGCAAGTTTTTTACCACAAACTCACATCTGTCAAAACTGGCTGCCTCCATTGTTTACGTTTTGAGTTGATGAACAACGGTCACTTCGCCAATATGGCTCTCACCATTAACCCCCTGTAAGATCGGTCGCGCACCCGGCTGTGGGTTTCCCGATTCCTTGTAATTTCCGTGAGATCGGAACCACAACAAATTATATGAAAGTAATTCCCCACTTGTTCCGTGTTCTGATCACGTTGTTTAAGTTGGTTGGACCAAGTCGATGCCGCTGATTCAAACAGCCAGCAACAGCAGCAAAACCTGGGTATTATTTGACCTTCCAGCCGCTCGTAGTCTTCGCCTCGCCATACGTTGGCCAAACAATCCCGACCACTACCAAACGAATCTGCAAACCTTTGGCCTGTCCAATCCCCGAGTATGGTTCACACAGACCAAGTCGTACTTACACTGCATGTTCTCGTGTATTCTTATGCCATTTTCTTATATTTGGTCGTGCTGCACACACTGAATGCAGCAGCGATGCCGGGTAAGTGCTCTTCTCCCCACCCCCACGACCTTTTGACCTCCCTGTATGCAAAATCTATTTCCTCCAGAATTGACTTAACCTACTCATACCACCAAATTCCTATGGTAAAAGAAGACATTCCCAAAACGGTCATCACAAATCCTTTCGGCATGTTTGAACTTGTACGCATGGCAACGTGAACTCTGTAATGCCGAGCAGACATTTCAAGAGTTCAACGACCAAGTAATCCGAGGGCCATTATTCGTTTTTGCACACATTGGTGATAGTACCACAGACCACAAATACCCTTTGCGCACCCTCTTCGGATGCCCTAAACCATACGGATAACGATTAAAGCTAAGGTGCCTGTTAGGAGTGAAATCACTTAATTTCATCAGGTACAATACTTATTTTTTGGCATTAATCTCCTACTGATGTCTGCCATCAAGAATTATCCACTTCCCATTTCTTACCGTCAACTCTGCCAATTTCTCGGCCTCGTCAACTTTAACCGTTTCATTACTCACTCTACTGAACGAATGCAACCACTTGAACAAGGGAACTCAGCGTCTGGAACTCAACGATGAGGCAACCAAGACGTTTGACTCTTGAAGAACTGTCTTAACCAAATTGACATCACTGACTCACTTCTCCACTGCTACTACCGAAACTATTCTTTGTGTTGGATGCCTCATAAGAAGCTGTAGGCGTAGCGCTGCGACAGATCGTGAACGTCAACGTCCTCAACCAGACCAAACACGGTACAGTGGCTTTGGAAGAGAACCGCTAGGGGGTCTACTTCAAGACCAAATACCTTAAACACCTTGAATGTCATCTCCTTACGCTGCATACAGGTCACAAGCCTCTGACGTACGCACTACATGCCGCGTCAGATCTCGAGTCATCAAGAGAAATGAGATAGTTAGATTATTCCTCTAAGTTTACTACAGACTTATTTCGAGAGAAACTAGAACGTCGTTACAAACGCAGTCCCGTATTGGGTCACACCACTTAGAGCAAAACACTCATGATTCAGAAGTACTGACTCAAGCCTGATGTTTTAAACTTCGACTGAACAAAATGCGACAACAGACATTTCTTCAGTTCTGTGAATGTTCCTTTGTTTAGAGGGGCAAAACAATTACTTGTGACGCCACCATTGGTAAACGCCAACTTTTTGTCCGAAGTCATCATTCCTATGTCGCAACATCTTTGATGGTTACCGTACACTGTCACACTCCAGCATCCGCGTCATCTCGCAAATCATCTGCAATTGATTCCTTTGACCAAAATACAGAAAGACGCAAGACAATGGGCAAAGTTCTGGATCCCCTAACAATAGAGAAAAATACATCCCCAGATTAAATCTGCTCCCAGTACATATCCCCACTCAATGCACGTTTTAAACTCATCCACCTGGATACTGCTAAGCTTCTCCCCCCTTTCAACGGATTTGCCTATATATTGGCTTGCATCGACCGTTTCACATGTCTGCCGGAGACGATTCTCGAGGAGGATACATTTTTGCCGTTGGTCCAACCGCTAGTAGTCTGCAGCTCGCAGTTTACACCTGTATTATTTAGAGACAACGTTTGCTTGCCATCCTGTCACCAACAGCCTTGTCAAACCCTTTCATCTTCAACCTAAAGCCGCTATTATGGTCAACTCTGGTGTGCGATCTTACTCGAAATCCGCTTCATGGTGAGAGAGGATGTCGCTTGTTCTCCCTTTGCTGCCCCTATGGTGCTACGCTCCGCCTTCCCGGTGAAATGGTCAATGATGTTGACTCCGCTTCGTATCTATCCTAACTCAAACGTCACACATCCCTCCCCCAATATGTTCAATAAACCCTCGCTAATCCGCCCGATTTTCTTTAGTTTTTAACCGTGTCTGTAAGAGTTGATGCAATTCAGTGTTCTTTCCGTCCATTCTAAAGTGGAACGACAATGGCAAGTAGTTTAACACTGACCGCAAAGGCAAGTTTAAAATTGCCTATGTAGGCTATTTTTGCTCTACTCCTTCCATACCTGTGTTACTAATCCGACCCGAGTTCCTCCTGCATATACACAAACAAAACCCACTCCCGCACAAACAGATGCACGATTGTCTGGTCCGATCACACCGACAACTATACTACGTACACATGTCGGACGCGCTATCAGATGCCTAGTAAGCCTCGCGAATTCAACTTTGTTGCGTGAACCTTCACTGACCATCCTAGCCTCGGTATGACGCCCTAAGAGGGGAGACTGTGATCATTACACTACCATATCTGCTGATCAATCGTGCTGATTAAGCAACACGACCGTGCATAGGGTTCAAAAGTTTTCTCAGTCCCGGCAAAAAGTCGAGACTTCTAAATTTTGAATGACTCGAGCAAGACTACAAGACTAAAATGCATTGTGAACACACGGCAGCCATGCTATTGTTGCAACCACAAGTTTTGGTAAACATATGTAAAACTTGAACTTTTTGAAAGTTCTTAGTCTTTTACACCCAAAAAGTAACGGAAGTTAAGCCTTCCGGTAGTAATTGATGCCTTGTTACGGTCGTAATAAGTGTTAAGCGGGTGGAGATACCAGCTCGTCAAATAATTGCCACAGATGAATATGCGACCAAAGATGTGATGCAGTAGACGGGGAAACTTCCAGCAAGGAATCGGTGTAAGACAATACACATGGGGCGTTACTCACCTTAAGCAAGTAGTGGATGTCATTCATTACAGCTGCGGAGAAAGGATGAAGCATCGCAAGGGCGAATTTTCTATGGGACAGCAGACGTGGAATTAGGTATTTTTTGGCGCGAAGGCCGATTGTCTGTTGCTGCGATGTTCGATGTGAGGGAGAAGGGAAATCGATTTCTAGGGTTGGGATGTCTGGAGCGGTGGAGACGGCGGTGGCTAGGGAGGGACGGTGGTTGGTGCGCAGACTGAGGCTCTCATAATTTTTTTCATGGTAGTCGAAAACGCTTTCGGTTTTGGGCGATGAGTGATCACGTGGTAGCTCGACACTCTTTGTGGATGGTGGGGCTGGAGATTTTCCATGCGGTCTACCTGAGATAACCATTGAAATCAAGTGATCTGAAATAGGAGTATCGAAAACAAGTGCACAAAATCCCACAATTAAAAAACAAACACCATAGTGTGCCAAGTGGGACTTGGAGAAATGTGAAATAAAGGAAGAACAAACCGAAAACCAAACAGGATTAACATTTATATTGGACAAATCAGGTCTATAACCAAGTACATATTCGTGTTGTCAAAACGAAAAGTATACGAGCGGTCGGTAAACCAATGCAAACCAACTCATCAAAAAAAGTTGTGTAGGCTTAAAAGTACATAATTTAAGACAACGCCTTTGATTAAATGGAAATAGGCGGTAGACAAACCAAATGACACGATGACTATCTAAAATCAATGCGATAAGGGAGTACAAAACGTGTCTATTCAACATTACACGTTATTTGTGCAAAAGCATCGCAGATGATAAGAAATCAAAACGTTGGATAACTGTCTATAGGGAGACAAAATAGTGGCGCAAACCTTTGCTTGAACAAAATAGACGCTGCATCCCACTGTAAACTACACATAAGTGGGAGGAGTTTTGGCGTACAAGAATCAAATACCGTTAAACCATAAAACACACGCGAGATCTGAGTTCGGATATAAACAACTAGTTATTCAACAGGTACAAAACACTTTCTTGTAATATAAAGCATTAACAAAACTGGGCGATATATGACCGCAACTATATTAAAAAGTGCAGTAACACCTAAACAGCAAACTACACCTGAGTGCCGGCCGCATTCAAAGGAGCTCAACCGTGATTGTGCTATTGAACATTGCCTAGGGTAATTTCATATATTTACCAAAATTTGTCAAAAAACCCCTAACTATCTTATTTGATTTACAATCCCATACATTCAAGGTTAACATTCGAAAAATGCTGCCATCGTTCTTCCATTTAATTTACTGAAACATTATTGAATCAGACAAGTATGCGGTTGAAATTCCCAACATTATGAGGTACCCATTTATTCTACAGGTTTGTAGATTAATGGTTGAGTTGACAACACTTCCAATCTGCAATACCGTATCCGGGGTGTTAAAAAACCTGCATCAATTAATGCACATAGGATATTCTTGCATTCTTTTATAACGCAAAATGGAGCTCACTGTCGTGTAATACGTCGGTTGGTTTAGTGTCTGTTTTGAAAGAAGCCACCTCTGAACGGGCTATTGCATCAACGCTTGGCGGTCTGGGCATCGGGCCGTGCCAACACCTCTGGTACCTTCTGTTGACAAATATACGTATTCTGCTTGAGTACCATGTCTTCAAGGAAGTCTCGGGGCGCTAAACTTGCGCCTCTGGAGAGCCAAGATGTTCTGTAATACGATAGTGGCTTATCCCTCGGTTCTGGTGAGGCGCCACTTTTGTACTTCGAATTAGCCCCCTTGTACCTCGCTGGGTGGGCTGGCCTTTCGGGCCATGCCAATAGCCCAGACACCTTCTCCGCGCTGAATATATATATTCTGCCCGAGTATTTTGTCTTCTTTCGTCTTCAGGGAGTCTCGGGACGCTACAGTTCTGTAGGGCGAAACTCGCAGGTCTCCGCTTCCCTATTCCCAGTGCTCTTAGAACAACCCGATTGATTTACCCTCGACATATTTACTAGGGCGAAATGGATCGGGAGAACATATACAAGGTGTAGAGAGAGGAGAAACCGCAATCGCACTCAGGCACAGGAAACAACGACTCTGTCACCAGATTCGATTTGCATCCTTTCTTTCTCCCTGAAAGGTACATTAAAACAACATAAGTATTACAGTTTTTTGGTGTACACGAGTATTGGTTGGACTCCAACAATTTTTTGACACTGGCGGAGTAAAGAAGTGCTGATATATCTTAGGTGTTTAAGGCTGGTTCTGACTATTTCTGGTTTTTCCCTCATACTGTCATTTGTCCACTTAGTAATAATTCATTAGGATTTGCATCTGATGGATCCTTGTAAGTTAGCTTTAATCGTGCCTTAGAACCTGGTTAATCAAAATAAGCTACATTCCATTGAAAGATGTATTGCATAAAAGTTTTTGACAAAAATTGATAAACTGGGAGCGCTGTTTGGTAAACAAGCATTAAAAAATAATTTTAAATAATTTTTGTTGTACACAGGCCTTTTATATGATAAGTACATATTATTGTCAGCATATATGTTTCCTTATAGTTAATTATCACAGTCCGCGCTACGTTTGGTTTTTTTGTTGGTCTTGTTTAGCATGAACTTTTGTGAGGCAAATGGGGATGTCTTGTACCAGAAATGCAATTCCTCCTTTACTTTGTCTACACAGGAGAGGGAAGTAAGTCCGGATTTCCTGTTTTTCTCTCTTTTTTGAATATCAGTTTTCGTACCCTTTCCATGTGTTTCAATTTCTATGTAGTTTTTCTTGCCTCCTTTGTGTCTTCAACTCCATTTTTTTACTTAGAACTCCTATATTTTTACACCTTTGACCAATGGATGCTTTAAGAATTGTGTTTTGTTGCGCTGGTCATGTTGATTTTCTGGGATGTACTTTAGTTGCGTTATTTTTTACTCAACCCTTTTTCCCTTAGTGCATTGAAACTTTTCTTTTGCATGTTGGAACATCGTCCACGGTAACTGACAACGAGTGTTGGGCCTTTAAATTTCTTGCTGCCCGAAAGTTCAATGTTCAAGAAGCTGTTGAATTATTTTACTCGTATGAGGTAACGTTTAGCACTAATCCGGTATTTGTTTAGGCTTTTCTAAGATCTGAAGGTATTACCACCGTAAATCCTTTCGATGAGAGTGTTCGATCTGAACTTCTGTCCGGAAAATTTACTGTTTTGGTAGAAATGTATGCTGATACTAACTTGGCTTTAGAATGATAACGATTTATCTGGTGCCCGTGTTGCTCAATTTTTTGTACGACTTCATCGGCCGACTAGAAGTACTCATAAAGCCTTCCTCCAGTCTGTTGTATTTCAGTTGAATGCTGCTCTTCGAAAGTGAGTTGTCGCCTTATTTTTATTTCCTTTATGGTGAAATTCTATTTGAATTTAGAATTAATCTTGTTCGTGTTTAAAGCTTTTACGAATGTCTCATTTTCACAACAGAGAAACGGCAATTCGAAACGGCATAATTCTTATCTACGACATGACAAACGCCAAATACTCAAATTTCGACGCTGATTTATCAAAGAAATTGTTCAACATGCTCAAAGTAAACTACTCATGCTTACTTGCTTGCATTAATCCTTCGACTCTAATATCTATTGCACACTCCAGTCCTGCTACCCGATCCGTTTGCGGCGGATAATAGTGTTGACGGCACCATTTTGGTTTCGGGCCTCCTTCCACCTACTGAGGGTCTTTATAAAGGAGGAGCTTAGAGACCGCGTACACGTGCTGCGTCCTCTGCCTGGCTCTCGCCTGGCCTCCCTCAGCAATCCCGACCCTGCGGTCGCACAGAAAGCGCACTACGCTTGGCTTCTTACCGCCCTGTCTGAGACCGTAGCCATCCCCGACGAGGTAATCCTCTCCCCTCCACTCTTTTTTAGGCTCTGGTCAAGAAGCATGTTTTTTACGCTGGGTTCCATTTTGAATATCTTCAATGACATCTTAGTTAAATGGTTTTACTGGTGTTATCACCTCCTTTTAGGGTTTTGAATGATTTATAACAATGCTTTGTTTGTTTTCCGTCTGGCTGGTACTGGTTTTGGCTGATTGTGATTTAAAATAGACTGCTCGTTGGTTTAATTTCTAGCGACATGCTGTGCGATGTATGAGTTGAGAGAATCATGTGGCTATTTGACATGGGGTCTACTTGGGTGATGTCCATAACTGCTCGTCTGATCTCGTATAAAACTGTTTTGACTTGGACACCCACCAGTGGTAATTTCGTTCGCATGGCTTCGGCAAGCGAATATCCTATGCGGTAGTGATTTTAATCCATCGTACCGAATGTGTACGGTTGTGTTGACCTCTACTTCACTTAGGGCATGAATCTAGGGCCCTTATCCCAACTTTACCGTTGTATTTGCTAAAGCTTTCACTGAAGAATCCAATTTGGTGATGTAATTCAGTGTCATTCCCTTCACTCGCCGAGCTTCCAACTAGTCTTTGCCAATAAATTTTTGTAAAGGTTTAAACTTTTAGGATCTTTTGAGGATCTGCTGAGGCGTAGTATTCCCGTCTTATTAGTAAATAAAGCACGTTTCTCCGTGTAGTTTTGGACTATTTTCAAGTATCCAAGATAAACAGTCCTCAGGTAGTGCCCTATACTATTCTTTTTTGAGTTCATTTTGAGGGAATTTTTGCTTGAATACTGCGCACATGGTTGAAGGTGCATTTGAACAATGCTGCTGCAAACGTTTTGATAGTACTAAACAAGCGCTGGGGTTGGTAAATTGGTTTTACGAATTAATCTGTTAGTACATCTTTACCTAGTCTTCATATCGTCTTCTATTTCTAAGTTACTTCCACAAAAGAAAACCTCGCAACTTGAGTTTCTATGGTTCCAAATTACTAGTTGTGCAGTGTTTTCCGGCACGTTGATCTCTGGTAGGAAGAAGACTTGTTGGAAATTCAACCCTTTTTACGGTATATATATATGTATATTGTACGTCTAGCCAGACCATGGAGTTTGTAAATGGAAAGCCTTCCGTGTTTCCCCCCCCCCGGAAATCATTTGAGAGTTCAGCCCACGCTGGCATGAATAAATCTTTCCCAGTCCCTCGGTTAATTTACATTTGCTAGCTGCAACACCTCATTTCGTCCAATTAAACCCCTTAGAAAGTCTTTTAATATCTTACCTTCGAGACCAATCTGCCTGAAAAACTTTGCTTTTAGCAATAATTTTAACTTATATTTACTCGAAAAGCAATTTGCTTGCACCGATTAAGCTGCTACCCCATCTGCCAGTCTTTTGTTAAATTCGATGATGCGGAAATGCAACGCTTTCATTTTTTTAAATTTTAATGAAATCTGAGGGAGATGTGTGTGGCCGCTCAGGCATTTGCTGATATTGGTTGAAAATAGGGTTTAAGTGACTTGTTTAGGCAAATATTGCTTATTTACTTGCATTTAGGGTACAAATTTGTTCAGACGTGGATAAAGGCCTGTATACTATGTATTACTTACCTTAGCCTTCAGTTGTGGCTTCTAATTAAGGTAAATTTGACTTGGGTTTTGATTCATCTATTAGATCTCTTTTTATTAATCATATCTTATCATTTTTTGATTCAACTTTTTGGAAAATATGCCTCATGGAACAGTCACAACTTTCATTTTATAAAATCTCATGAAGGATGTTACATCTTCATAAATCTTCTGCACTTGTCATTGCCGTTCCACATCTTTATGGCTGTTTTATTTTCAAATAATGTACTTATGGGATCAGAAAGTGATATACATAGGTCTTTTAGGGGATGGCACTGTCCAAATAGCTGTACTTTTTCCTTCTTTTAATGGTTCATTTTCGGCGACACTCGCTATTTGAAGTCACTGCTTGCTTCCTCTGTTCTCTGAAATCTATCTTTTATTCCACTTTTTCTCTGCCCCAGACTCAATTTTTTGGGGATTTGACTCCGTTTTTGTCTGCACTCTTAAAACTGAGCTGCCATGAAAATTATGGGTGTGTACGATCCCGTTCGTTCTTTGCGGTACCTAACCGCTGAATCTGGATTGATTGCCATCGGAGCGTCAGGTCTTTCCTGTTAAACCCTCTAGACTGCTTGGATCGTATTTTTGAAGTATCCTTTACCTTGGCGTGCAGTTTGCACCAATGAGGAGACCTAATTTCTCGGCTGTTTTATTTTATTTGGGATCGTAGTTATTTATTCCTGTTTACGTCTGATCGCTCAGAAGTACATTAATCTTTTTCCTGCCTACATATTTTTATTCGAGCAATCAAGTGACAAGTAGGTCCCGTTGAATTAAATTAGAAAACTCTATCTTGATTTTTTGGGCAGACTATTGTTATACAACAGGGGTCTATTTTGATAAAAGTGTCTTGTTTTTTGACGCCATTCTAGTTTCCCTGCATGGACCGGAAATCACTTCATTTTTCACTTCTATTGTAATATGAAGTACACCCTAAAGTGAGTTTACACTCCTTCATTGTGTTGTTTTACTACCGCCATTTGTCACTCAAATGGGCTGGAAAGGCAAATACCGTTGCTGACAAAAGTGTAAATGTTGATGAGCGTCAAATGAAAACTAAGCTGCTGTTATAATTGCATAAAGTAATATTTTTTAAAGACCTGAGGATTCTGTATGTGCGTGCATCTGGCATTCAATGTCATTTCCTTACTAATCGGTTTAAATTTCATGTAGTTGATGGTTCATAAAGTAAACAAAATTATTCCTACTACTCATTCCTGTTTGCGTGACGTCGAGTTTTTCTTATTTTTTGTGGTTGTCTTCTAATTGGAATGATCTGACCATTTTCATAGATCATTGGTCCCATCGATACACCATGCTGTATTACTCTGGGTTATGATGGAAAAAGAGGAAATCGGAAAGATTATGCGAATTGACATCGTCTGATCCAAATTTATTGTTAATCCCCATCGCAAAGGTGCGATGCCACAGCCTCATTTTCTTTGCCAACATAGATTGCACACATTTTTTGTATGTGCTAGTCTGTGCCTGAATACTAGTGTGTGCTATTTTTGTATTGCTCTTGCGGGAGCTGCCACAAATCGCTGACGAAATTTTAGATCCCTATATTTGGTCATTCGCGGGAATCAGCAAGCGCTAGGTTACATACGCTGTAGTTGCGGCCTTTACGTTACCCACTCAGTGCGTATCGCTAGGCTAAAGGCTCATTTGACCTATTCATAAGTCGCAACAGCCTGGGTTTCAAGTTTTTACGAAATAAAATGTCTTTTTGTACCAAGACACTGCATTTGCAGAAGACGGAGTAGCCAGTGCGGGCGTGTACGTACATTGCAAAAAGGGTGTTATTGTGTATACATATATATATTTCTGCAAAATTCCGCATACTGCTAACTCTAACTGATTCACGCCTTCACACCGGAAGTAACGCCATTACCCTTGTTAGACCTAACAGAATAACCTGGCTTTGTTGTTGATTCAGTTCAGTAGTATAATCTCATTCGGATTGTTTTTTTTTAAATTTTCGGTAATTATTTGCTATTTTAAAGGGGCTTTAATTGATAGCTAATTTTGCTATCGTGTTTATGTTTCCTGAATAACTTCGACACGCCCAGGCGTTGGCTCCTCCTCTTCAAACACGGATGACTCATTCTTCCTTTTTCCTCTTGCATTCATCTCTTTTCCCTTCCTCTCTCCCCAGTTATTTTCCACCCCGGGTCTCGGTACGCGTCAACCCTCAGCTGCCATATCGGCCTTTTTCCACGCCTCCAATAATGGCGGTGGAAGTGGGAGCACCAACAGCACAATCGATTGCTCTGGTCGCTCCTCCCCGTCTGCCAGCGACGCGGGCGACGAGGCAGCGATGGTTGGGCCTCTGACTGAAGATGAGGGATTGATGGCGGAGATCGGTTGCTGTTCTCCCAACTGGGACCCCTTCGCCCTCTCCAGCTCCCAGTCCAGCGACGCTGAGTCCACTGGCCTCCCCGTGAACCCCGCTACTGGCTGTGCTGGTGCTGATACCGACGGGATTGCAGCGGCGAGGAACAACGTCATGTCTATGTCCTGCAGTCCTGTTCTCTCAGCCATACCGATCACCTCTAGCATTAATGGCGAGATTGTATGTTTGGCACTAGTTTTAGGAACATTTTCTGGCATCTTTCGTTCTTACCTTTTTCCTGTATGCATAAGACAGATTAGGAATGTTTCGGATACATAAGTAACTTGTCGATCCCTTGGCTGTTGTGTTTCTGGTATTAAAAAGCGTCATTTTTTCGTGAAGTCTGAAATTCTTTGGAAAATTAGTGTTGTCTGGTCGTTTCACCCCTCGGTTAAAATTGTGCATTGTTTCGTAATGAAATCGCATTCTCCCACTACAAGAGGTGTCGACTGGTTTGTGCTGCACATCAATGCGTTTGAACGTATCAACCCGTAATCGTGTTTGTGTTCTTTTGCTCTGTAGTTCACTTTCATAAGGTGATCCATGTTCTATCATGTGATACTTGTAGTGCCTATATTTCTTACAAAATTCGACTAGTACAAATTGAATTGACCTGATCTTGAAGACCAGTTCCGTTTCCAGCATTACATTAGTTTGTTAAGCTGTGGTAGACTAACTGGGATCGGCTTAATTTCCTTAGGAAACCTTCATATTTGCTTATTTATCTGCAAAAGTAAATCAGTTATTACATGCACTGCGTGTTGCTTTCAAATTACATATTCGTATTTTGTTATCAGCTTATGTCATGTGTAACCTCCCTTTGTTTTTCTCATACGTCCTCTAAGATATTTCCTCCTTATTAGAAAAGTCGAATTAAGGCTGTGGGTCTGTTTAAAAACGATTTACGCTATACCACTGTTATGGGGTAGGTTATTTTTAGAGGCTTACCTTTTGCTGCAGCTTGATTTGCTATGATTTCATAGTCTTTGTTATCAAAGACTTCAAGTTCTGCTATTAAAGAATTTTCTCAAATTATAGCTCACGCGGGTCAGTAGGTCGTTGTTTTCATTGATTAGTTACTGGAATCAATAACTTTTTACTGTAGCATATTCTCATATGAGCCTTGGCTTTCTCCACCAAAGACAGTAGCCATGATCCGAATTCACTTCCACATCCCCCTTCTTACCTCTAGCGCAACATTAAGCCTCAAGCAGCCAAAATGGGTCAGGAGCCCTTTCGCGACCCCGCAGGAACGCCCACACCCCCCGCCATCCCCAAGTTTGGCAACCCCCTCAATGGGGCCCGTGTTGACGGCGATTTCGCTGCAACTCCCACTTCAGAAACCGCCCCCTCCACCACTGCATGCACCGGCGCAAAGCACCTGCATAGCTGTACCAGCAGATCGAACCGCACACCGAGTGGGGGACAATGGGTCGCACAGCAAGCGCCTCTCGCCTCTCAGGACGATTTCACCGTCTCAGGTCTGGAGGACAGCACCAGCACTGACAGCAGCAATACCATTCGAAATGAAAAGCGCTTGAAACAAACCACTGCCCCTCTCTCCACTCCATCTTTTGCCACCGGTCTCGCTACAGTTCGTCCCTCTGGTAAGTTTTAGGATAGCTACCTTTCTTGTATCACGACTTTAACGCCAGCGTTGCAAAGAACGAAAAGTTTCTAATCTCGCTTACTCATACTTTCAGCTAATTCTGGTTGTTCCCCGAATTCTACTAGTTGTCATTTTCTGGCTTTGAATTAAATTTTGTCTATTTACCGTTTTGAGTCTATATCATTGTAGTGGATTGGCTCCAACTGGCAAAGAATCTCTGCGAATATGGCCTAAGTGTTTTCCATATATATCATGATAAGCGTTTTTTGGCTTGAAGGCGTTATCTTTATAGCCACGAAATTGTGATGAATCATTACTGACACTCATTCGACGATCGGTTGTTGTATTTAGTAACTGGAAAATGGCACTAAATATGCATCTTAAAGCAGTCTTTAAGTATGATGTGTAGTCGTTGTAAAAGTGTGAGGTTGGCTGCTTTTTGTTTAAATTTATCTTTCCCGCCTACCAAATTGCCCATTATTTCATTACACTTCGTTTTCCCTCGTTTCGCATAGCGTACAGATTAATGCAAGATTTTCTCACTCCGCATTGTTTGCTGCTACCAAATTGATGAGCTTGGAGGCAATTGCGGTTCGTACTATTTTCACAGATAATGAAGTGGCTCGTAACTATACTCTATTTATTAGTATTGAAAATCATTTGGCCAATAGGTCCATATTAAGCTTTAAGAGGTTAAATTCCCAATCATTTGGTGTTACTTGCTGCACATGTTATTCAGGAAAAACTCACTCACACGGCGTTCATTCCCAGGATATTTTTAATATCGAAAATGTAGATGATCTAACTGTCTTGTTTGGTTCCCACACGCACGCATCCAGATCTTATTCCCTCGTGGGCATTGAATCGTCCTACTGGCCCCTCCATCCAAGTGGGTCCCCATCGGGTGACTGGAGGGTTGCAGCAACCGAACAACGACCCGCAACCGGACAAGTTCTACTGTATCGGTGAAGCCTCCTCTGCCACTCACTCATCCCTTACCTCTCCTCGCCTGTGCTCCCGAGTTCTTCAATCACCACCCACTCAGGTGGAGTCAGATCCCACAAAGGCGCAGATTGACAGGTTCTTTGAGGATAGTGATTCCGACATTGACAAAGGCGACAGCAACGGCCAGATCACGAATGAGGCCCCTGGTGATGATGAGGTCGATAAAGGTGACTATGATGATGATGACGAAGAAGAAGAAGCGGCGGATTTAGACCTGGACGGCCTCTGGATGACTATTGATCAGCTGGCTAGCCACGTGGCTGAGCTGGGTTTGGGTGGGCTAGTTGAGGAGTACTCGGCGATGTGCAGCATCAAAACCGACGATCCCTGCACTGCCTTTCGGTGGGTGTCTCGTTATGCATTTTCTCCCCAATCGGCCACGTGTCTAGGCTTATTCCTAGTGGCCCAAGTGGTGTTTTAAATCCTTACAAATATGCTTGTTATTGCAGAATTCAAGCTCTTACCCTATGCACTTTACTATTCCCATGTGATGAACTGTAATCAGGATTGGTATTGCACTTGCCCCTTATTGTTTTCCCAAACTGTTTTATTATAATTGTCATGGTATCCACTAAAATTCATAGTCTTTCACCATTGCAATCTTCAAATTTAAACTTGATTGCTTTTTATTGAAACTTACTGTGGAGTATACCTCATGACGATAGCATGCACTCTTGAAAAGGTGATGAAGCATTTTACTTGTCATTTCCACTTTTAATACTTCAAGATGTATTTGCACTGACAAATCAAGATCCGCGAACTAACTGTGAACTGCTTAGGTGTGGTTGCCGACTTGGTCTTTTAAGAAAAGTCACCTTTTTGTGGTCGATTGAGACTCTCTTGATTATCCTCAGATATGTCAATGTGGCTGTCTGAATTCCTTTTCACACTCAAACTACCATAATGCTTAAATGTGTTATCAAGAAAGTGCGTTTTCTTCCCCAAAACTGATGTGGAGTGCATGCACTCGTTTTGGTTTAGTAACCTTTTCAGTTTTTAAGGTTTACGTGTGCGCTTGCTTGATGGGATGATATTATCACGTTTCGTTTCCCCCCTTGCACCTACTAGCTACCTCCATCATCGTGGTGATAACCTAGTGACGAGTATGGCATGGTTTTCATGAGTATTTAATTGGTCACTAAAATTTTGGTGCAGATCAATAACGGTTTTCTGTTTCTCTTGTAGTATTTGCGTTAACTATTTAGTTATCAATGCCAAATGTAGTCTAAAAATAAACTATTGCTAGCAATTTCTCACTGCATTTGTGCAAAATACCACTCTAGGGTCAATGTTTTCACCTCCATTTAAATAACCCACGTTATCTACTATTCCGTGTGGGTACCATGTTATTTCACGAAAGACAACTTAAACACCGCTAGGAGTGATTAGGCTAGGCATCTCATCCGACTTCGCTATTACAAATACAAGTGACTTTCGCTTTTAGCCATTGTCCTGGTCCAGGACTATTATTTGTTTAAAAATGTAGCAACTTGGTAACTGTGTTAGATTAAAATCAAGTCATTCAATCCTGCAATCCGATCATCAACAGGGGCGATGCCAAGTTTATGTGTGTCGGATCGTCATTTCCTGACCTATGAATGTAATGACGCATGGATCTTGATTAAGGGAACTTAGAGGATAGTCCATTGAAAATCCATCAACAGGCATCAATGGACAAGGAGGATCACAACTTTCAGAGTACAAGAAGCGTTCAGCGCTCCCCACTATACTAAACCACAACATTTTAGAAGGACTGTTGGGTCTTGCATTTTTACTGTATTCGCAAACCAATACTAGTTGATACAATACCAACTCTGTTTCCTTAATACTCTTTAAAATATTCATTGATAATCCCAAACGGAAAGGGCGAGTGATAGGCTCTTTTAGGTGGATCGCTATATTCACTAGCCTTTCGTATCGTTAAGAATTTACCTAAAAACCGTCAATAACCTAATCGGTCCGTCGTCTTTTGAGCTCAGCAGTGTTGCGCTTCGGATGTTTTCATTGCGCTATAAGTCAGTGGTGTTGCCGATACTATTTTCATTGCTTCTGTATGTTTCTGATTTTTCTGCCGGCAGCATGACTCACTGGGGCATTAGCCCATCCAAACACCCTGATTAAACTTTTTGAACACGAGAAATGACATGATTCACTCCAAGCTTCCACCTACCGTCTAGCTACTGCTACGACAGCTGCCGCTAATAATGTTGCGATGTCGTGGTTAGATAATCTCGTGTGCCAAATTCAATGCTACTTTAGTCTTCCACAATCGGCCCACGGACGCCGCCTTGCTCGTCTTAGCATATAATGCCAACCCATGCTTTTTGCTAGCGCCGCGCATAATGCCCTTGCAGATACGAGCTGTAAGAATTTGATCTTATATTTCTACGACATCGCTTTTAACGTAATATCCACTGTATTAGATATGGATCATTCTAATTTTAAATGAGCACACACCATGTCATGTTGGTGGTCAAGTACTCGCATCTTAGCAGTTTGAGATAGTGAATGTCAGTAGTTTGAAATGCTGCTCTTATCGCCTATTCCACTTTGAATGCGATTACATGTAAATACTTCCCAAGCTAGCGAATGCATTAAAGCAACCGTGACTTACTTCCCCTCTCTCTGACGACCACGTGTCTATGTGCCAGATGTCTATACATCTACCCCAACTTTATCTTCGGTTGTGTTCCAAATGCGTTGAAGGAAAATAATGATAACGGTATGTGCCAAAGCCTCCCTCATGTTGTAGACACCCGTGGAATTCGTCAAAGAACCGCTATGTGGACGTCGCCTGCCTGGAGCATAGTCGGGTGCGGCTGCGCTCTCATCTGCACACTGCAGGCCATTCCACTTCTCCCATCCCCACAACAACGGCGGCTACTGCTTCGGATGGAAAGGCAGCGAAGGTAGAGAAGCAGGTGCCAATTTATATCCACGCCAATTGGGTGGACAGCTACCGCCAGCGGAATGCCTTCATCTGCACACAGGGCAAGTTGCACGTATTTAGCAGTGGGCCTCATAGAAATAAAAACTACACCACTTCATTCTTTGGTGCCGCCCTACTACCCGTTTTGACCCCCACAAAGCGATCTGTTCAGGCAATTGGGATGAGTGCCTTTTCACGTAGCGCGAAGTTTGTTGCTTGTGCTTGAATGCCTGCAAAGATCCATTTGAAGAACATCGCAGCCGAGGATAGCCAAAAAGGTATGCGTTTGGTTTCAACTTGGCGTAATATAATGTTAAAATGCTTTACTCAATCATGCTTCAAGTTCAGGCGCGATTGTTGTTTTTTTCCAAAGCACTTGACATGTCATGATTTGTTTTGTGTGGATAAATCCAAGCTATTTGAAATAAACCCTCTTTTCCGCTCCAAACCATTTGTGGGAGTTTGTCTATTTACTACCGACGCTTTTCTGTAGTAAAATGTAACCATTTCCACATTTTCTCTATGCGTATTTAGCAAATGATTGAGATGCTAGCTGCTTTTGGGTCGTACCAACAAGAGATCTATTCGTTTTCGAGAACATTTGACGATTCGTCAAAGTGATTGGCTTAGGTATGCAGGCACCGCGGTTGCAGGTGCCAGCCTTGAAGTTCAGCGCCGGTTGATAGTTTACGGGTTGAATTCTACTGTTCTCTTTTATGTTCCACTCTTGCACATTTTCGATTCATCCATGCAGAATAACATGCCGCAGTATTTAAAATCATTGCAACTTACCTGTTGCTCGCTTGTTAATTGGTTGGCGTTTTTACTCTTCACGCATCTCTCCCTTCACCGGCCACACTTTTCATTGAATGCAATGGTTCCACTTTCCGAAAATGATTCCTAATTGTATGTCCCAATCCTTCGTAAACATTACTAATATTTGTTTTACATAATGTAATAGCACTTTCAGTCCCACCAGTCCTTGTGTGATTCGGCAGTTTGTTTCTAGATCTGAGGTCAATTGGTCCTCAGTATTGTGATTTTCTGCTTTTGAAATACCTCTTCATTAATTGTGTTTGTTTTTGTCATTGCGAGGCGTAAAGCTGTTTGGTGAAGAGCTCCGTCATTGTTAGCTCCAAGCCAGTGTTATTGACATTTCACATTTTCTTTGAAAAGCAAGGCCGTTGCAGTAATGTATGCGGATATTTGGCGAGGGTGCTGTTGCAGAACCTTCATGTCAAAAGTGGTTTTAGCACTTACGTCTAAAGAGTACATATTTCAATATGCATTTGGGTTTGGTTAATGAATGAATCTAGGAATCACGTTACTGGAGAAGTCATAGTTACCGTTGTAGTATTCTAAGTTCCGAGCTAAAACTCCCCCTCAGCGAAGCGGTTAAGCTAACTAAAAACTTGAGTTCTTTTTTATATTAAGCGAATCCTTGACATCTCTTCTGAAGCTCAAAATCCTTCTCTGCATAACTTGATCAGACATCTTTTTTGTCTCTGCCTAGGTTTTCAACGAGAAAACCAGTTTGTATTGTTGAGATAGGATAGCTGAGTGCTTGAGGTGCGTGTTTATGAAGGATACTCTAGTGGCGTCGAGGGACTAAGGTGTAAGAGTCTTAATGGCTTGGCAAAAGCTGCAGGCATTAGGCGTGAATTCACAACGTGTGCCTTGCCCTGGCGCATAAAAACTATGCGAGAAGTGGAGGCTATAAATGGCAATATGGTTTTGCATCGTGGAGCAGAGCTTCGCCACCTAACCATCACTATCGCCCATCTGGCGGGTGTCCCTTAGACTGCCACTTTTGGTGTGCGTTGCTGAGCCAGTGATTCACTTCTGTGTCCGCTAAGTGGGCGAGCCTCGCTTCGCCCCCCGAATGTATCCACATTCTCCCAACGCAAATACCTAATTCATCATGCCCTACCCTCGCCAGCAGTCATTGTCTCAAATATGTCGGCGCTGCCTTGTCTGCTTTGACGCCCTCCAGATAGTCGCTCTCCCCAGTCCTCTTCTTAGCTGAGCTGATCACAGTTTAG